GTGGAGGGTGGGAAGGGGCAGGAGCTGGGGGAAGATTGAACTCGTCTTCATCGCTGTCCTCCTGCAAGCATCATTAGCGTTGAGATTGGAAACAACGGGGGTGGCACGAACATCCCAGCGGTGAGCATGTGGGTCGAGCTGTGTAAACGAGTTTAGTTCTTGCAGGATGGCCTGGTTATGGGCTGCCGTAGCTGCTGCTGTAGCCTCTTCTACTGCCGCCGCCGCCTTCTTACCTGAATAATGTCAGCATTCCGCGGTACGCCACAAGACAAGACTCACTGTCTGCGACTTCCTTGGCTGTGGGGAAATCCCGCGATAAACCGACATGCTTGGGAGGAGCAGCGCTCGTCCTCCAGGCATTGTTGGTATTCGCCCCGCTCGCCCCTGGTAGGACCCCTCCGACTCTGGCCTTGGTGGGTGCTGGCTGGTGCAGCGTACCGCCCTCTGCGACGGTCGCTGGCTTTGCCCACGGGCTCGAATTTGTAGCGGGCGGCGGCGCAGGGGCAGGAGGGGGTTTGGCGGTCATGGTATTCAGTTTGGTCGAGAGGTGGCGGGAGGGGGCGGGCAGGATCGGGACGGGGGATGCGGTCTGGCGGCCTTGGGTACGGTCAGCTATCGGCTCGTGTGCAACTCCAAGTCTTCATTTCGCCTCCTTCATAGCTGCCTGGTGAACATCTTTCTCCTGATGCATCCCACGAATGCGCCCAGCATTCCGCATACTGCCCCCTCATGTCCGTATCTCACTCACCGTTGGTCTTTACAGCCCCCGGCGCAGGGGCCGGCGATGCAGTCTTTTGCAGAAACTTTTGGTTGACATTGATGGCCGCGAATTTCTTCTTTGGCAGCGGTCCTAATGGCGGAGTCGAAGTACCAGAAGCTGCCACGGACGTTGCTGGAGATGCCTGACGTGGGGCTGGTTCTGCCGTTTCTGAAGGCTGTTGTTCGTTGGGTATCGGTCCAGTCGATTCTTCCGCACTCTCCTGGGGCTGCCCCTTCTCTTCCCCTCTTTCAGGCTCTTGGGCTTCATCGTGGCCCTTGGAGCCACCCCCCACGGGCGCTTCCACGGGCGCTTCCGCCCCTCCCCCGGCCCCTTCCTCGGTTGATTTGTCGGCGCTGTCGGTGCTCAGATCTTCATTTGGCGGTGTGTGGTGAGAATCATGCTGCGGCGGGGACACTTCGGACATGCTTTCGTGGTGGCTGCCCCTGTCCGTGATACCCTTCCTCGTAGCTTCTCCCAGATGATAGAGATGACGGCCCCTTTTCTCGGCGTGTTGTATATACTAGCCACTGTGGCACTTTTGCTTCCGTCCTCTTTCGCGTTTTCCAGGGGCGGGACCCGTAACGGTCTTCACGGTCAGCGGATGCATGGCTGTGTCAGTTTCTTGGTTTCCCAAAATGAGCGCAACAATGGAATAGAAGAACGGATGCACCGCATCGTTGTGTAGAGAATGAGACCGGAACATTTTATCATTACAAAGCCATATACAGACCCCGGACATTCACAACAAGATCCTCAAAAGCAAATGCTGCAAAGGAGCGACTGATACTGATGGCAGAGGCTCAAGTCATTGTCTGCGCCCGCCTGGCGATGTATAATGATCAAGAAGCTATGTAGCGTAGTTGGATAGGCAGGGCCGGGTAGAAGGGGAGGAGGCGGCAGGAGCAGTAAGCACGATCCGCGTGGACAGCTTTGGATGAGTTTGGATCACGTTCTACTGGATTTGCGCCAGCTTCCAACCTGTTTGAGTGTCTATTCGCAATCACAGCATTCAATAGCAACTCACTGCTTGATATCTTTCTCCATCCCTCGTACCCATCAACAATTCATCCCTCTCGTCGAAAGCTCTTCACCACCTATCAAGACCCGACAGTGGCACTCGCCGACGCTCCCCCGTTTACGTAATTTAGTATATGCTCCCGTTTCAGTGGATAATTCACTCTCCTTGATTGGCCCGCGCATCATCTCTTTCACCGCAACATCCACCATGGCCGCCCGTACTTCCCTCCTCGCCCTCAGAGCAGCAGCCCGCACAAGAATAGCCCCTTCTGCGGCCAGGGCGTTCACCCGTGCTGCTGTCCTCAGGCAGGGTACGTTTGAAGAATGTCGTATGGCATCGCGCTCACCGTCTTGTAGAACAACCTTCTGTTGCCCCTTACAAGGAGCCCGTCGGTATCAACCCTGCCGACAAGTCTGCCGCCATCAGCACCCCCCTTCACGAATACGGACAATACATCACCTCCTGCCTTCCCAAATACATCCAGCAGTTTTCTGTGTACAAGGACGAATTGGTCCTCTACATCCCTCCTTCGGCTGTCATCCCTGTGTTTACATTCTTGAGGGATCACACCCAATGCCAGTACAGGCAGGTCGTGGATATCACTGCTGTGGATTTCCCAACAAAGCCGTACAGGTTTGAGGTGAGTGCAAGAGCTTGGTCGGCTCGAGTCGTTGCAGGATCAGGGAAGAAGAGTCTGGCCGCGTTCACATGTGTGCTCTTGGCTTCCATGACTTGGCGACAAGATGCCTATGAAGGACTAGCGCCGACTGAATATCTGTTGTATGATGCTAACGCAGCTTGCAGGTCGTCTACAACCTACTCTCTGTCGAACACCAATCTCGTATCCGTGTCAAGACATACGCCGACGAGGTTACCCCCGTTCCTTCCCTCTGTGGTATCTACAACGGCGCCAACTGGTACGAACGCGAGGTCTGGGACATGTACGGTGTCTTCTTTGAGGGGCACCCGGATTTGAGGAGAATCTTGACGGATTACGGATTTGAGGGACATCCCCTGCGGAAAGATTTCCCTTTGACTGTGAGTCCATCACCCGTTTCTAACACGGGGTCAAGCTCATTCTCCGACAGGGTTACTCCGAGGTGCGATACGATGATGAGAAGAAGCGTGTGGTGTACGAGCCTCTCCAACTCACCCAAGCCTTCCGGTGCGTCCCACTCCCACATCGTATTTCCACCACTCACTTGGATGCAGAAACTTTGGTGACGCCGCGTCTCCTTGGGAACAAGTTGGTGGCGGTGACCCCACTGCCCAGCCAGAAGAATTCAAGATCCCTCCTCCCCCTCCCCCTAAAGAGGAGAAGAAGTAGATTGTCGGGTAGAGAGGCTGGGATAGGATGCATGGACTGTTTATCATTGGTTGTCCACGGGTTGTGGGTCACGAAGGCGAGTGGGCGGTGAAGTACTGGGGCGACTATGGGATCGAAACGCGATGGGTATCGTCCTTTGTGCGGTGACAATGTCTGGCGGTGGTTCGTCTCTGGGTCTTGAAAACGTTTGGCGCGGGGCAATGCACCTTGCTCCTTTGAACACCTTTGTGCGGGGTGTAAACGTTTTGAGTACCCACGGTGGAGCTGAGATCGACGGGAATCATGACTGGTCTTTGCCAACTCATCTCATCTTCTCTCTCTCAAACTTGCCCAACCCCTGTTTCCCCCCCACAACTTCTTTTCTAAAATCTCGCAACTCACCAATTCTGTCAACCCCACAGCAGCCTATTTACCCATTCCAATGAGATCCCTAATACCCCTCATCTCCCTCCCCTTCGTCTTTGCCGCTCCCCGTGCCGCTCCTTTCGCCATTCCTTCGCCTGTCGCTACCGCAACCCTTAGTCTAAGGCCAACGCCCGCGCCAAATCCCACATACCATCAGCTGGAGGAACGATGCACCTCGGGCAGTTGTGGCGGGCCCGGCGGCGAGTCTACCCTACAAGCCAACACTATCACCTCAACCATCGTCTCGACAACTTCTGTCCCATGTTATATCACTACGTATGTCACCGACTCTACCACCTTGACATCAACAATCTACTCGACATCGACCATCACTTCCACCGAGACCAAAGAAGGTACCGTCTACATTATCCAATACTCGCCCACCCCCGTCGTGGGGAGCACGATGGTAGAGAGCGTTGTGGAAATGACGATTAGCTATGAGAGCTACTGGATTTCGAGTGGTGGGACGTACTCGGAAAGCACGTCGACGGGAGCGTATACCACGGTAGGAGGCGGAGGAGATTGTGAGGCTTGTGAATCAGCTTCGTCTGCAGCGACTGCTGGCGAAAGCTCGGGTGGTTCTTCCGGTGGATCGTCGTTGCAAGGCAGCGGCTGGGGGTCTGACAGCTCGCTTTCCATCTCTAGTGGCGGTGGGAATGCCTCTACCGCACAAACGATTGGCGGAGGATCAGCAGACAGCGGTTCAGCCTGGACTCACGTGAGCAACGCCAACGACGCTGCAGGGATTTCTGTCACCGACACCGCTGCTGATGCTAGCAACGGAGGATGGGGCAGTGCTGGGTCGACTACGGCCACAAGCGGGTCTAGCGATGGATGGGTCAGCTGGAGCTCGGGGGAGAGAAACAGTCCTATGTGGGGATGGGAACTTCTTGTTGCCGTGGCGCTGGTCATGGCTGGGGGGTCCTTTGAGAGCGTCTATACTGTAATGTCTTGTTAACATGAGCGACATGGGCGCAGCTTTTCCATCAGTACTTTGGGTAAGATACTCAGGCATGTAATCAGCATTTGGGTATGATGAAAGCACTGGGGCAGCAAAATCATCACAACATATGTAGTCAACGAGTCAAGACAAGGAGTAGGTAGACTGAATCGTCAGCAAATCGTACAGACGCAAATCGAGGGGTTTGGCAGCCAGGAGCCCATTTTCACTTGTCTTGAATCCTCCCAGAGTGGTATAACACAGAGAAGAGTTAGCCTCCTTGGCTTTGCATCCCCGCAGAGGCTCTTGTTGAATGCGTTTGACAACATGTATTGGAACAACGTAACACTGGCAACAGCAACAGTCGTTGGCAGACGCGATGAGGTATGTATAAGAGAGCATGGTGGCCCGAGCAAGGTTGTTTCTTGAAATATTTGACCTTTCAAATTGTAGGTAGGGAAGTGGAGACCAAAAGCCTTATAACAACGTTTGATGAATTAGTATAGCTCTTAGATAGATCAAGATGTATGCAAAAAGCCAAAAAACATCAGCCCTCATGGTGTAATGGTAACACGAAGGTCTCATAAACCATGAGCTTCAATTCGAAGCGCAATCCTCAGCCCTGAGTTCGATTCTCAGTGAGGGCAATCACCTTTTTGTGATTTGTCTTTCTAAATTCCTTTTTGGCTTTGAGGATGCACGTATTCGGCTTGCTATGTAATTTCACTTTATGCTTGTACGCAACGTATTTTGGGCTTTAGAGCATCCATATCACTCTCGTAGGTATTCTGGTACATGAGATACAACACGTTTGATTCCCGGCGCCTACTCTGTCTTCTCAATCTTCTGTCGCTTCTCATCTTCTCCGCCCCCTTCTCCCTCGTCGGACGCTTCGCGCTTGACACCAGCCTTGGTAGCTGTTGCTTCCGTAGCGACGGGTTTCATGGCTGCAGGAGCCTTGGCCTTTTTCTTGACCACCACACCCTTCATCAAGCTCTTGACATCCTTCTTCTTACCGTCCTTCACTGGGACCTTCTTGGCCACTGGTTTCGCGGCTAGTGCAGAAGGAGGAGGAGGAGGTGTGTCACTGCCGATTCCACCCTTGCGCTCAGCCAATCGTCTAGATGAGACCGTCAGCGAGGATGTAGAGCATAGTCAATCACAACTGGACACTCACTCTCTATACTGCCTCAACTCTTCCGTTTCGCGAGTCTCGATCTCTTTCTGTTTTCTCCGCTTTTCTTCTTCTTTGTCCTGCAAGAATCGCTTCTCTTCGGCGTTGAGTCCCCGCCATTGATTCGAGAGCTTCATCTTGGCATCCCATTCCTCATTTTTGATTTCCTATTGATTGTATGAGTCGGGGTTTCCATGGGGAATCGCGGCATACCTTCTGCGACTGCAGTCGTTCGTAAAGGGTTCGCCCATCGTGTTCTTCCTCTGGCTCCTGGGGTGGTGGTTCTTGTCCAATTCTGTTCACATGTCAGCCTTTCTTCCGGGCAAATAGTCAAACAGGTATGGCTCACCTCTTGTACGCGTCCTCCCATTCCTTTCTCTTATTCTCTCGAGCAATCTCAACATCCTCTTGGGTCTGGAACCGCGAAGAGATGTGGCCGGCCGTGGCTTGAAAGAGGGACTGATCCATCGCCCTACAGTTCGGTGGTGAAGTATTGGAAGAAAGAGTAGCGTCGGGGCACGTTGAAGTGCAGAAAACGGTTTGATTGTTCGAGCGAGTGGACCGGACTGTTACAAGGAAGCGTATGACCAGATTGTCGAGAGCGATTTGTTCAATAGCAAGTTAGCCAGAAGTTAGCAACTGAACGACAAGCAGTTGACGACGAGGCGCGAATTTGGTTCCGTCTCTTATAGCGATAATGACCGGTGGCCCGCCGCCGTGGCCGAAAGATGAACGACTGACTTGCTCGCACAGAGACTCTCTTTCCCGTCAGTTGTTTGCAGATCATCATGTCAGGACGCCGCATCGACCTCGCAAAGTTCGCGGGCTCCGACTCGGAAGGCGAGGACAGCCAGCCAAAGGTCAGCTCGCTCAGTACTCCCAATATTCCGCAAATTGCTGACTGCTTTGGGTATATAGCGCCAACTCGAACTCACCGCCCTCAAGAGCAAAACCTTCTCACATGGGATAACAAAGAAGACAAAGCGAGATCTGGAGAAAGAGGCGGAAGAGAAGAAGCGTGTCGAAGAAGAAAAGTACGCCCTTCGATACAGAGTTACCACAAGGGCGCAACTGACCCAATCACTGCAGGGCTGCGGCTCTAGTGATGGCAGAATTCGAGGAAGAGTTCAACTCTGGACCTTCCAACCCAAACTCCAGCATGCGAGCATTTGGTGGTGGCTCTAATGCGGCACCCCTAGGTCCTCGAAAAGGTTTCGTGAAGGCTGGAGGTGCCCCAATGACTTCTCAACCTCGCCCGGCGGCGGCCTTCAGACCTCCATCAGGTCCGGGAATGGGGCCAGGAGCAAGAGAAGCTCACGGTGGTATGGGCTTTCAGCCGCCCCGGGGACCAGCTGCTATGGGTTATAACCCTAACCCTCCGCATGCTCGGCCTGTGGGTTTTGGACGACCACCGCCCCTGCCATCACAAGCAGCATCTATGGATCCCGGACGATTGCCGCCTACCGCATCGGCTTCGACACCTCCAGCGCCTAGTGGGCCGTTGAAGAAGAAACGTGCTATGGACTCGTTCCTCCAAGAGATCAAAAGGTAGGCACTTTTATGGCATCGAACGACCATGCTGACAACCGCCAGTAACCAAGACGCCCGAGAACAACGACTGGGCAACATGGCCAAGAAAGAAGGCTCGTCGGTCTCTGCCCTTGCAGGTCTGTACTCGGCACATGCGGCATAATGCTGCAATCGTTGCAATACAAGTGTACTGACATCTGAAACCAAATGATGTAGCTTGGGAATCGGAGACTAAGAGTGGCGTTTTAGACCTCGAGGTAAGCAGCTGGCAACGGAACAGGATCAGCAGCTGACATGGAGCAGACTACCAACCTGTTTGTTGTAAGTGTCATGTTGCTTCCAATTGTGTATTTATTGATGCGTTGCAGTCCAACCTTCCGAGGCAAAACATGACGGAGCAAGCTGTCGGGCTCTACTTTGCCAGAATTGGTCCTGTTGGTACTGTCAAAATCATGTGGCGTGAGTCTCTGACTGAACAAATGAACCCCTTTATGTTGACAGACTCATTCAAAGCCCGGGGCGAAGATATCGCTGCCTCTCAACACCGCGGGCTCTCGGGATTTGTCTCTTATATGTTTCGCCAGGACGCTGAAACCGCGGTGCGAGAGCTGGAAGGTGCTGATTTCCAGGGCAACAAACTGAGGGTGGGATGGAGTAAAGCAGTCCCGAAACCTCTGAAAGCCTTATACGGTGTGTACTTTTGTCCCCTGTGAATGGTATCAGCAGAGGCTGATATGTTCTGTAGACCTTGGAGTGCGAAACGACAAAAAGAGGAGGGACAGATCCGAAAGTCCGGCAAGAAAACGCCGTGCTCGATCAAGTTCTTACTCATCGGCATCCTCCTACTCCCGCTCGCCTTCTTCGAAAAGAGACTCTGAAGGAGAGGCTTGGCTCAAGACAATACCTGAGGAGAATGCCAAGTTCATCAAGGCCGTGGCGGAGAGAGTCCGAGAACATGGAAGAGGGCTTGAGGATGTTTTGAGGGAGAAGGAAAAGGAGAATGACAAATTTAGCTTTTTGTTTGATGACAAGGTGGGCCGTTTCTATTAATTGAGAAAGCTTGTTGAAAATCCTTCAGCTCCCGGAATACCACCTTTACAAATCTACACTGTCCTCGCGCTATCGCATCCCGGACCATCCGCGCGCATTCATCGATGAAGGCTATGCCTCGATGTACTCCTCCGACTCTGCCGAGGACTCTGAAAAGGAGCGTACGAGTAAAGGAAAGCTGGGCCGGTTGGCAAGAAAACGGTTCGAAGCGATGCTGAGGGCTATGAGTGGTAAGCGGGGAGAGATTGCGCGGGCAATGGAGTTTGCTTTGACCCATGCGGAGGCGGCAGACGAGATCGCAGAGACGATAGTCCAATCTCTCATCATTCCGTCCACCCCTGTCCCCCGGAAACTGGCGCGGCTTCACCTGATATCTGATATCTTGCACAATTCTGCTTCCCCTCTGCCAAACGTATGGCGTTACCGCCAAGCGTTTGAAGCTCGCCTACCACCCGTGTGGGCGCATCTGAAGGGGGTGGAAACTAGTTTGGAGGCGTATAAAGGACGGATCAGTGCGGACGTCTTTGGAAAGAGTGTGGGGAGTGTACTGGATATATGGGAAAGGTGGTGAGTCTGGGCTGTCCTTGTAACACGACTCAATATTGACACTGAGATAGGATCGTGTTCAACAGCGAGACCGCCGAGCTCTTCCGTGCCCTTCTATCGGGCAACATTTCATTGACCTCGCTAACTCGTACCCCACAAGGTATGTGGGTTGACAAGAGTGTGCTCGAAGCGCGAGACAAAGCCAAACGACAAAAGGCCGAAGAAGAGAGACGGGCCAAGGAAAAGAAGGAGGAAGCCGACAGGGGTTTCAACAGTGGCGGCTTCAAAAGCTCGTTCAAGCGGGTGGACCCGAGCTCTGTTGCGGGAGGATTCAAGCCCATAACCACGGCTGGCGACCACTCCGCGGGGGCGCCGGCCGAGTCGGATCTGGACGGTGAGGCGATGGAAGATCTTGACGGGGAAGACATGAACCTTGATGGGGAAGAGATAGATCTTGATGGGGAGCCGCTCGGCGATGATGATCTGGATGGTGAATCTATGGAGGATCTAGACGGGGAAGCAATGTGAATTAATTCCCGATAAAGTTATTGTATAAGCAAATGCACTATCTGTCAATGCGGATCCGTTCATTCAACAGAAGACCATACGGCATGATGATAGCCACGCGCGACGACTATGCTAGCCAGACTATTTTGAGCTATCGAAACCAAATGCAGTAGGCCATATATGATGATAATGCATACAAGTACAATTATTCCTGATTGCCCAATTTGGAGTCCAGGATACCGGTCCACATCTTCTCATTAATCTTGCTCGCCCGTTCAACAGCCTCTCTCAGGCGCTTGTTCTCCTTTGCCAGCTCTTCCATTTGCTCCTCCACGTTGCCGTTGCCCGCCCGCCCACCAATCTTCTGTCTTGCCTCGGTAGGTTTGAGTCCGCTTAGCAACGAGGCCATCTCGTTGGAGGGTGGTCGAACGAGCAAGATAGGGTCATGTCCCTCTCTCGCCGCCCTCCCCTTCATCCTCTCAAAACTCTTCACTTCCATGATCGGGACTTCTTCTCCCTTCGTCCCTACCGTCCCTACCAAATCGAATGGCCGGAGGATAGTGGTTAGGTAAGTGACGGGACCGGCGTGCGGGGAGAGGGTACGAAGATGTTGATGGGAGGGGAGGGAGTGTATTTGGATGGTGCCAGCAGAGGTGCCGATGAGGAGGTGAGTGGAGGAGAGAGAGAGGGAGAGGGATGTTATTTGAGCGTCCCTAGACGTGGTCAGCAAAGATAGCAGATGGGTAGAGTGGAACTCACTTGACGGAGATGACAGCACCTTCTGCTCTTATGGGCGCACCAGTGTTACCGCCCCCACCGACAGCTTCCCATTCCTCGGAA